GGGTGAGTTGGGGGGTGGTGGGGTGAATTGGGGGGTTGAGATATGGGGGATGTGGGGGTGGTGTCCAGTGGGGCTGAGGTGCTGGGGGCTGCGGGGAGTGGGATGTATGTCAGGGCTGTTTGGGGTGTGTGTGGAGACTGTCAGGATAAATGGGGGCTGGTGCAGGGTTGTTGAGGGTGTGCATGGGATGGGAGGGGCATTTGGGGGTCCATTTATGGTAGGAAGGGCACTTGAGGGGCTGTTTGGGGGGGTGGGGTTGGGAGGGACATTGGGGTCTGTGTGGGGAGGGGTTCATGGTGGGGTGGGCTGGAAGGGGCATTTGGGGGGCTGTTTGGGCTGGAGTACGTATGGGGGGTGCTTTAAGGAAGGTAGAGGTCCAATTTCCATAGTCCACAGGGCCTGCAAATTCCTATTCCTGAGCAGCGGGAGAGTCAGAGCAGGGGGCTGGGGCTGAGTGAGGCGCTCGCCCTGGGTGGACAGGCCGGGGAGCAGGGGGCTAGTGGGCACGGGCAGCTCTGGGGACGATCACATGGCCCTGCGGGGGGAGGAAACCAGCCAGGCCTCGAAAAGCACTTTCACCCTGATACCCCAGCTACCTGTCGCCCTAAAACCCAGCCCCCGCATCAAAGCGCACAGCCCCCCAGAGTAACTAACCAAAGCCTCCCTCCAGCAGCGCACGCATCCCTCCAGCAGAGCCAGAGACTTCGCTACAACTAGTGATAGGACATGGAGGGTGCCCGGATACCATGGTGATGGGCAGCAGGACAAACCCTAGGAGAGAGGTAGATAAGATACAGGGGTGTGTGCTGAGATAGATAGCAGTGCGGATGGGGATAGATTAGATAGGGGGGTGGAGGGGATATCTGGCTGGGGGATAGATTAGATGGGGGGGTGGAGAGGATATCTGGCTGGGGGATAGATTAGATGGGGGGGTGGAGAGGATAGCTGGTTAGATGGACAGATAGACAGAATGTTTGTACCGTGCTTCGAGCCCCGCCAGAGACGGGCAAACGGAGACCTGTGTGAGTTAAAGCGCTGCTTTATGAGTAGTGCTGAGCAGACGCAGGAGCTAATTAACCATCAATACTAGCTGCCTTCACCGCAGTGTAAAGCCCCCGCACTTGGGGCCCCAGCTCCCACTGATTTGTACATGTTCCTTGCTAGGGCCCTGCTCTTGCTGTGGGGAGGAGACGGGGGGACCCGGGATTTCCTGCAGGGCCTGTGCTGGAGAAAGCCACTGCAGTCCTGTACCAGCCCCTGGGACGCACAGCCCTGGCAGTGGCACTGCGTGCTCGCCTCCCCGGGGAAAGGCAGAAGATTGGAGGGTTTAGACATTGTTTGTCAGCAAGGCCTGTTACCGCTCAGTGCCTCAGGTGCGATCGCACAGACAACACCCCGGCCGCCGCTGCTGCTTGTGGTTTCATGACGCTCTAGCTGGTTGGCTAAAGCGCTTGAGACAAGTTTCTGCCACAGACGTGGTTTCCATTTCTGGCTTTGAGCTGCGAGAGGACTCTCCTGGGTGGTTTCGGGGGACTGGAGGGGAGTAGGGGGCCCAGGGGGGAGGGGCTACTCATCTCAGTATCGGAGCCCCTCGCGAGACCAAGGCAGCAGGACCCTTCCTTTCTGTGCAGCTGGTTTCACAGTGGCGGGGCCGGGGTGCCTGTGTCTGTGTCGGGCACCTCACACAACACTTGTCTGAACCACCGGGTGCTGCTGTGCCCTGGGTCGGGCTCCACTGCAGCCATATTAGGCCCTTCCCCCACAACGCCCCCTCCCCAGAGCTGGGCTCCGGCTGGAAGGACGAGCGTGCTGGGGAGTGGACGGGCCGGGAGTGACCAGACTCCAGCCCCATTAGGGCTTCCAAGACGTGAAACGAACCTGTGATCCGAGGGGCAGGCAGTGCAGGGAGGTGCAGCGTGGCCCCCCTCCACCGCCGCCGCCAGAGCCATTGGGATTCGGGGGGTTATGTCCAGATACGAGGTGCTCCTGGAGCCCCCATCTCCCAGCGCACAGTGATGGAGGCTAGGAAGTCTCTCTGCCCTGGCCATATGGTTCCTCCCGTACCCCAGTAAGCTCTGACCTCCCCCACTCCCTCTCTTCTCTGAATGTCTTTTCTCTGGGAAGGCCAGGCTGACTTCACCAGGGAGCCCTGCATGACCAACATTGTGCCCTGAATCCCTGCCCACCCTAACATGCAAAAATAGCAGCCAACTGCCGCCAGGATCTCTCTGTGGGCTACATTAGTGCACTGGGAGTCAGGACGCCTGGGTTCTGGTCTGCTCTCAGCTGTCTGGCTAATGGCCTTGGGAACGTCACTTCCCCCTCTGAGCCTCAGTGCAAGCAGAATGATTCTGACTTGCCTAGTGGGTACCGGGAGGTTTCGCTGATATGTTTGCTAGGCACATGCAAAGGGCTGATAGTGCATTCAGCTCTAGATCTCTGAGCAACTGCTATAGGTGGGGGATTCAATTTCCTGATGCCCATTCACACTCTAACCACTGGGCCATGCTGCATCCTGTAGTGCATGAAGTAGTGCTCTGAAGTGCGTGCGCATCTGAATGTACTGATGAATCTCACGCCCACCATGGACACATTTCAAGCTGATAGCATTTTGTTTTGAATTCTATTTTAGTTCTGCAGCAAACCACACTGAATTCCATTAATCAAAGTGTCAATCTACAGAGTGCTTTCCCCCTGCCCTTCCATCCACCAAATAAACCCCGATATTTACCCAGAAATATTATTCATAGTTTTTTGCACCGATTTTCAGCTGTTTTTGTTGTTGTAGTAATAAACACTGATAAATTCCTGGGAAAAATTAAATAAAATAAAAACCGAAAACGAAGGGCCCTAACTAGGTCTCATGGGCCCTTCCTCTGTGGTTTATTTGTAGAGTATCTTCTCTGAAGGCTCCCAGAGGCCTTAAGGCCTGAGGGGCCAATGCATTCAAATTGGTTGTTATTGCCCTGAGCTCAGCCAGCCTCCAGCACCCTGTGCTCCCCACTGTGCCCTGGACTCGTGTCTCTTCTATGAAAGGAAACAGGACAAAATCTCAAGCTCCTTGTGTCGTTAATGGGAAGGTCTGAGGTTCCCACACCTCCCAGCTCCTTGTGTCAGGTGCAAATCACATCCAGAGCACAGGAGATCCAGTGTCCTGGGCAGAGGGTGAGACAACTGGAGATCTCACAGCACTAGAGGGTTTGTCGCTAGGCGGGCAGAGGGTAATAATATCATTGCTGTTAGGAACAGAGGGCTGGAAACAGTGTATCAAAGCACCTGTCCATCCAACCCATGATTCTGCCTCCAGCAGAGGACAGAACCTGATCTTTCAGAGGAAAGAGAAAGCCCACTTCCTTCCTGACCAGTGAGGCACAATGCCCTGAAGCATGAGATCTGATTGTCCTTATTTTAGCTAGTATAACTAGAATGTCCCTGCTGGCTAAAACATCATCCCATCTCTATTCAAACCCAGTGATACTCTTTGACTCTGCTAGGAGGATATTGTGCAAGTAACCATCTATTTTTAGAGGACGTGGAGGGCCAGATTTGGAGACTGTTGCCCTTCACAGGGTCACTTTAAAATAACTCCAAACTTGTTAGTCTGGAGCCAAGCTCTTTAGCCATTTCTAGCAACAAAGCCAGAGCGGCCAGGTTCCTCCCAGCAACATGATAGACCCACAAAGAGCTTTGAGTCACTCTCTGCTTGGTTGAGCCATGAACATCTGAGGTGCAATCCTGGCTCCACTGAAGTTAATGGCCAAACTCTCACTGACTTCGATGGGGCCAGGACATCAGCCCTGGTATTGGTAGGGCCTAACGTGGTCTGGAAGGGGTGCCAGGTCTGTCACTGGCCAATGGGGAATTTCATTAGTTAGCAACAAACTTGAGCCTCTCCTTTGGCCGCAGGGATGTGATTTAGTCTGCGTCAGCTGTTTGGTCTAATGGGTGTGAATCCACAGAGGCCCATTAGATCGTCCAGTCCTTCCCCAAGGGGCCAGCGTGGGATGGTTCCCCATGGGCCACGTTGTCCAGCCTGGTTTAAGTGCGGGGCTCAAGGCAGCCTGGTAACGAGAACCAGGAGTGACAGGTGTGGGGTTGCAAAGATGTGCACAAGGGTATACTGAGCTGCATCAGCAAAGGCACTGCATCACAAACAGGGCTATCTATCTATCTATCTATCTATCTATCTATCTAGTTCTGGTGTGATCACATGTAGAATGTGGTGTGGGCACCTCAGTGCCAGGAAGATGCAGCCAAATTGGAGAAAAGTGACAGTTATTCAGGGGCTGGAGGGCAAGTGAAGGAGCTGACAATGACTAGCTTCGCTTAGGTATGCCTCGGGGTGGGGCTGGGAGGGCGGGACAGATACTTGTCTGCAGGTGTTTGAGGAGGGGAGGAGCTCCGAAGCGTGACTGAGGGGGAAGCATGAGGAAATTCAGCCCTGAGCAGTTCAGGGTGAATGTCAGGAAAACCTTGCGAAGAGCGTATCAGACGGGGGAGAAGAGCCTCCCCAGGGAAGTGGTGGAAGACCCATCACTTGGGACATTCAAAACTGGGCTGGCCAAATGAGGAGTGGGCTCCAGTGGCCAGGGTGGGCGGCAGAAGTGGCTAGCTGCTGGGAGAGGCCTTTCCCACCTCAAGGGTCTGCGTTTCTGGTGGGGCTGAGGTACAGAAAAATCCTGCTTGGATGTGACAGCTCAGTCCCTGACCCAGCAGGAAGTCTCAGCAGAGGTCCCAGGTTTCCTGCCTTGAAAGCAAGCTGCCCTCTCATCCTGATGTGGGCGGCGCGAGAGCCTGGTCCTACACCGACGCTCCAGCCTGCAAATCCTGGAGTTGGGCGGCTGCTCCGCTCTCCTGCAAAGGCCAGGATTGCGGTGACTCGTTCTACGTCCTGCTGGGCTTGGCGGGACGATGGCGATGCAACCCCCCCGCGCAGCAGCAGGAAGCTGCATTGCCTCTCCCCCTCACCAGGACGCTAACGCCACCTCTCCTCCCTGCAGAGGCGCTGGCCGAACCCGAGCTGTGCTACGTCCTGGACGCCGTCCTGTTCACCTACGGCATCATCCTCACAGTGCTCTACTGCCGCCTGAAGGTGAGTCTCCGGGGGCCTGGCCGTTCTCGCCTCTCTTTAGGTGACCCCCGACGGGGAGCGGAGGGTTACTGTGCCAGCCCTTCCGCTCCAGAAACACCATGGGGTTGGGAGGCTCCATCTCCTCAGTGGTTCGTAATTGTTCAGGGGACAAGGGCCTCTGCCGGGCGAAGCTTGGGGAGCCTCAGCAGAGCAGTGCTGCAGCGGCAGATCCAGACCGAGGTGCACTGGCAGAGCTGTGGGGGAAGCTGGCCCAGCCCGTCTTGCTCCAGCCAGAGCTGCTGGGCTCCTGTTTTTAGGAGCAGCAAATTTACCTTTTGGAAAAAATGAAATCGTAGTAAAAAGAGATGAGAAAGGCCAGTTCTCAGCACTGCTCTGCTCCCCTTGGCCTCTCTGCTGGGGTTATTCCAGAGGAGCTCCCAGCCGGCACAGCTGACTCCTACGCCTCCCTCCCGTCAGCACAGGGGGCGGAGAAGAGGTGGGAGGGGCAGACATGGGGGGTGAGTGGCGTATGAGACACTCCAGCAATACCCAGCTGGCACAGGGGAGCATCACCCCTCCCTTCCAGAAAGAAGGGTGACCCAATAGTTCAGGCTCTCGGGGGCAGACCAGGAGCCAATTCCAGGCTCTGCCATAAGTGCATCTGCGCCGGGGCCGGGAGCGCGGGTCGACAGGCGTGGAAACGGCCGTGTAGCCAGGGGTAGCGCGGCAGCAGCTCGGGCCTGTGCCTGCCTGAGTACAAACCCACCTGGAGCCGCTGGGTACGTACTAGGGTGGCGAGCCCCAGCTGCCGGGCTACACTAGCTGGGGTGGAGCTAGTGCGTGTCTGGCTGTCTGAGCTGGGATGCACGCTCCCTGCTGCGGTGTGGACGTACCCCGTGTGCCCTGAGGCAAGTCCCAGAGCCCCTGTACGCTGCGGGGGATAGCCCTGCTCTGCCTCCCAGGGCTGTGTGAGGGAAAACACCGCCAGGCTTGGGAGGTGCTCAGCTACGGCAGTGATGGGGACCATCCCGGTCCCAGTGCAGAGGGATATAATTGCATGTGGTCCAGACTTAGCTGCTACAGTTTAGTGCAGCCCCCGGGCTGCTCTATAATGCTGGCTATTAGAAGTCCCCCCCCGCCCCAACCCTTCAGCTGAGAAACTGCCCCCAAAATGTTTCAGGGGCTATTTGTTGTTTAATTCATTCTTTTCATTTCCTTTTTCAGCTCCAGGTTCGAAAAGCATCAAAAGCCGTCCCCAGCGCAGCCTATAGCGTACGTCCTTTCTGCTTCCTGTCGGTTACTCCTTTGCCAGGGCCTTGTGGGAGGAGTTGACAGACAGCTAAAATCATCCACTGCAGCTGTTGCTTTCGTCGGTGTCTCATGGACCCTCGGTCCAACAGAGCCCAGCTCTGCGGTGCCGCTTTGGTTGTGCTGCACAGCACAGCTCTCCTCTGGGGGGCCACTGGGAGGAGTGGGGCCAGGGGCTAAGGGCTTTGCTGGGGGAGGGGGGCTATTTTGTATGGGCACATTGAGGATGAGTTTGTTCTGTGTTGATGTTTGGGGCCTTACGCTGCAGTGCAGGGAGGCCGTGTGGAGCAGTGGGAAGCACTCAAGGGACCCAGATCCTAGTCCTGGCTCTCCCACTAATTTGCAGTTTGACTGCAAGCAAGTCAGTTTCCCTGTCTCTGAGTGTGAATAATGGTGCTGACCCACCTTTGCAAAGTGCTCTGAGGTCTGTGCCTGACGTACCAGTGCCGTGTCCCGGGGGAGAGTCCCGGCTCTGTTCTAGTCCTGCTGAGGTTTAGCCTGTTCCCGTCTTTTGCACCTTTGCCCTTCACGCCCATTCTTGTTTTTTCATTTGTTGTCCCACTTGGCTTCTGGACTCTGTAGCCCCTCCCTCATTTGAGGGGGTGGGGCTATTTGTCCTCAGTGGGCTTATGCCCCCCCGTGGCACCTTTCACCAGCATTAAACTCACGCACACACACATATAAAAAGACAGGAGCAAAGCTGGAGGGGGCAAAGCCCTGGACAAATTGCTGTAGAGTGTCCAGTGCTGGCTGGGTGCATGGGCTAGGTGGGAGATGCCTCTCCTCCTCTCACCTGAGCCTGGAGTAGAAACCCTTGAGCATTTTGCAAACCCTCATTTCCATCCCCTTGGGCTGGTGAACGCGGCTCACGGTGCCCGGTGCCCGCCTGCCTAGGCATTCCCCATTCTCGGGCTGGAAGTGGTTTGTCAACGTTCAGTTAACGTGGTCGTGCCCCTGGTTTGAACCAGCCACCCCGATGTGTCGGGAGGCAGGTTGTGCTCAGGATGTCTCCCTCTCTTTGGAAGCCTGGGAAGTTTCCTGAGAAATCCGGCCGGAGATTTGGGACTCCTATCCCCCCGGAGAAGAATCTAAGCTTTTGGAGAAGCCACCAAGTGATTCCAAACACCCTGAGGCTTGGGTGCCCCTGGCTGCAAAATGAGCCCCAGCCTGATTGGGGAAGCCAGAGAGACTGTAGCTGAGAGGAGCTCAGCTGCTGGTGCTGGCTGTTTGAGCTAAGAAGATAGCACAGGCCACTGCCAGGCAGCGCTGGTACAGAGCACACACAGCAGTAGCCACCCTGTTAGCTGTGTGAGAATAAACCACCGAGTCCCATGCGCGCCCCATACCAAAGGAAAAGGAGAGGCCTCCTGGGATGGGCAGCGTGGAGGGTTTATAGCAAACACTTCATGCCAGACAAAGCTGATTGCCTTTTGCATGCAATTCTGAATTTCCTGGGTCAAGAGAATGCAGCAGAGGCTGGATTTCAGTGCAGCGTTTGACACATCCTCTGTCAAAATCTTCCTTGAAAAGGCCAGGTAAACTGGCACTGTCACGTGGACTGAAAACTGGCTAAAGGGGTTAAAAAAGACACATGATTAACAGCAATGGGCTGGGGGAGGTGGCAGGATCAGTGCTGGGCATTGCCTCATTTAATACCGTAATGGTCCAGAGGAAGAGGGCAAAGGGCACAGCACTGTGATGCATATTGATACTAAGTGGGGAGCAGCTGTGAGGCCATAGGAAAAATAGAGCAGACCTCCTGGGCCGGGAGAGAATCACCCAACGCTCAGACAGAGTGAGTGAGAGAATGCAGGGGGGCTGCCCTGCTGTGGGGCGCCAGCCAGAGGAGTGCAGACAGGAGCTTGCAATGCCGGTGTGATTTTGAGCTGTGTGGACAGACACATCGTATCATGGGGCTGGGAGGCGATACGCTTTCACGGCCAGTGGCAAAAGCAACCCTGCAATATACGACATGGCATTGTAAGCACCTCGGTATCATGGAGATCCTGGCAAAGAGGAGTGGGGCCTGGAAGCATTAATGGCTGAGTAAGCTCAATCATAGAATATCAGGGTTAGAAGTATCAGAGGGGTAGCCGTGTTAGTCTGGATCTGTAAAAAGCAACAGAGAGTCCGGTGGCACCTTTAAGGCTAACAGATGTATTGGATGCATCCGATGAAGTGGGCATTCACCCACAAAAGCTTATGCTCCAGTACATCTGTTAGTCTTAAAGGTGCCACAGGACTCTCTGTGGCTTTTTACAAGGTTAGAATGGATCTCAGGAGGTCATCTAGTCTAACTCCCTGCTCAAAGCAGGACCAATCCCCAGACAGATTTTTGCCCCAGATCCCTAAATGGCCCCCTCAAGGATTGAACTTACAACCCTGGGTCTAGCAGGCCAATGCTCAAACCACTGAGCTATCCCTCCCCTACCTGTCTGGTGTAGCTAGTGGGGGGCAGGGGAACAAACAACAGGTGAAAAAAACAAGACGAGGAGAATTCTGTCAGGGGTGGGGGTGGAAAGGGGTAGAAGGGGAAGGAATGGGATGAAATAAAAAAAACTGTAGGCCCAGGATAGTTCAGAATTTCCACTTCTGCATCCGGCCAAAACCACAAAGTGCAGAGGCAGCTGCATAGAAAGAAAGAAAGAAAAAGAAAAGGGATTTTTCAAGCTTCCAAGAGTTCCAGCTTTGGGCTGAGAATTGGAGCTGGGTGATGGTGCGGACAGGCCCCGTCCCGTCCCCAGTTTGTGTCACAACACAGTGTGGGGGGAGGAAGGGGCTGTTTGTGGTATTTTGCTTCTTGTTCCTTCTGACTTATCTCTCTTTCTCTTTCTCTTTGTGCAGCAGAAAGAAGAAGGGATCTATACAGTAAGTATCCAAACTTCCCCACCCCGTTTGCTGCCTTGTGCAATCATTTGCATGAGACTTGGTCCCTTTCACCAGCTCCCAAGGTGCCAAGAAGATGCAAGTGATCTGGGGGCTACATGGCAGAGCTGTATTTTGAATGAATTAATCGATGTTATTAAATAATAACACTGGTGTCTGCCTGAAAGTCATCTCCGTCTGATGACTGTGGTAACAGCCAAAGCAGGGAACACTCCTGCACTGCAGGGAGGGGATGGACGACATGGGGCCTGGACAGGCTTTTCCAGCTCTAGTCTAACCTGGAGAAAACCCCCCCACCCTGCTTCTGGAGTCGGATTTGGAGCTCAGCCACCGGCTCCATCTCTCCCAGAGATTTCACTCCCCTAGCCCCAGGCTTAGTTCATTTGAATCGTTTCAGGAGTCCCATTCGGAACCAAAATCCTAATCCCCACCCCCACTTCTGTCTCCTCTTCTTCCTTACAGGGGCTCAGCACTCAGAACCAGGAGACCTACGAAACCCTCCGGACCAAGCCCAATTAGGAGCCCCAGGCGCAGCCTCTGCTGAAGGAGGTTGAAGGCGGAGCAGGTGTCCCAAGAGTGATTTATATGAGTTCCTCCCCAGTCCCAGCAAAGAAACAACTTTGTTGAAACCAGTGGTTCCCAGTTGCCCCCACGTGCTGAAGTGTTGGGGGTGGGGGTGTTGTGCCCCTGCTCGTTTACATGGTAGACATCCCTCCCCCAGCTGTACATTGCTCCGAGATGCTACAGGATCAGCCTTTCCTATCCCGCCTCTCTCGTGTTTCTGGTGCTGAAGACCTGTAGATGTTCTTTCCCTTGTGCCTGTCACCAATGCCGCACAGCGAGTCTCTGGTGAGACAAAGATGGGGTTCCATGCACGGTTCCCTCCAGCAGCAAAGCACCTTGTCTACCCTCTACAGCCAAGAACTATAATGCAAACATCTAACCCCCCTGAGCATCTCTTGGAAACCCCTGGACCAATGGAGCATCATAGAATTGTAGGACTGGAAGGGACCTCGAGAGGTCATCTAGTCCAGTTCCCTGCACTCATGGCAGGACTAAGTATTATCTAGACCATCCCTGACAGGTGTTTTTCCAACCTGCTCTTAAAAATCTCCAATGATGGAGATTCCACCACCTCCCTAGGCAATTTATTCCAGTACTTAACTACCCTGACAGGAAATTTTTCCTAATGTCCAACCTAAACCACCCTTGCTGCAATTTAAGCCCATTGCATCCTTGTCCTGTCCTCAAAGGTTAAAGGAGAACAATTTAACCTCCATCCTCCTTGTAAAAACCTTTTATATACTTGAAAACTATTATCATGTCCCCTCTCAGTCTTCAATTCTCCAGACTAAACGAGCCCAATTTTTTCAATCTTCCCTCATAGGTCATGTTTTCTACACATTTAATCATTTTTGTTGCTCTTCTCTGGACTTTCTCCAATTTGTCCACATCCTTCCTGAAATGTGGTGCCCAGAACTGGACACAATACTCCAGCCAAGGCCTAATCAGCGCAGAGTAGAGCGGAAGAATTACTTCTCGCTTGCTCCCTGATAATGATAGTGTCTGTCCTGGGGAGCAGGGAATATTCCCTTATCTGTGCTTGTAAGTCACTGGCTTTGGTCGCCTTGATGACTTTGCCTTGGTGCACAGAGTTGGCCCACACCACAGCGTCTGTGCTGTCGCAGACAGAGACTTAATACAATGCCGGCTCCCTGTTCCATGTCTGCCACATGGCCAATATTTCCCTGGCTTAGTTAGTGCTGCCACCTCCATGGTGGCTGTTGGTTTACCAGTGATGGAGAAGTGGGTATAACATTTCCCTTAGATGACTTAATGGCGTGGGGTAAAGGGAGGCTCAGTTCGGACTCAGAGGAAAGGCATTTGCTAGGTTCTGCTGTCACCCTTTGGCTGGTCTTCCTTTGCACATGGGTAGGCTTAGTAACAGATTGATAAAGGGAGTGATGAGGCCGAGGATAGCACCTCCCCCTTTCACTGGAGATGTAAAGAGCTGAAAAGCTCTTGATACCAAGTGTTTGAGATCAGAAATAGAACTGGGCCAGACTGAGACGCTACAATTAGTTTTCACCTCTAGGTTCCCAGTTCAAATCCTGTCCAGGCTGGAGGTGCACAGATCGTTGCCCTCTGACACTGAATAAATACACCCTGGGAAATGGGTTGGTAGGTTTCAGTCCAGGTCCCAGTGGACCAGGATGTATGTACTTCTCCTGCTGGTACCTGCGCTGCCTCAGGCCCATCACTAGACAGAGGCCCCCACCTCTAGGGTAGTCATTCAGCAATCCACAGCAGTGAATGTACAGCACAATTTTTATAAATTATTGACAAATGTAGGTCCGGATTTTCAGAACTGCCTGTGCATATTCGGGTGCCTGATTGGCACCTGCATTTACTGTAGTGCCCACACACACATTCCCTGCTCCCTGTGCGACGGGCCATTTTTGTCCATGGAATTCTGAACCTCAGGGCTTTACATTTTAAAACTTCACCTTCACCTGCCAAGTCCCAAGTTCAAGGTCTGGTATTTTCCCCGAAAGAACTGGTGTCATTACTGATGGATAGGGCCTGGTGATAGGCACAGGAAAGCACTGTGGTAGATATAAGTCATCCCATAAACTCCTGCAAAAGAAAGACAGGCCCCTGACCTCAGAGCTTCGCAGGTAAGTTGAAGAGGTCCCCTTTTCAAATATTAGGTTTTCAAGTGCAGTCTCATTTTGGTACCCACCTAGCCCTGGCAGACGGGCACACAGCAACCCTGCCAAAAGGTGCAATTGCAGCTGGGCATCAGTTGGAATCTTTTCATAAGAGCAACATACCTGGGTATCGCAACTAGCGTAAACGCAGGGAATTTTTGACCATGCTGTTAGGGCTTAACAGAGCACATGATGGCAGGAGCAAATCATCCATCTGCTTTCCTGAGCCATCAGATCAAGGCTTTCATGTTTATAGTTGAATGCTGCTCCCTTCCCATTGCTCATTATCCTACATGGCTTGTTTTGGGTATTGCCTCTGGAGCACCTTTCTCCACTGGTCCAGCAACAGGCTCCAGAAACACCAGGAGAAGGTGTACATCAGTTTCTACCAATGCTAAGACAAAATGTAGAAGTGTGCAGAGCTGTTTATCCTTCTAGGAGCACCTGGGTCTCTTTCTGCCAATGTAACCCTTTAAGAATAGACACCTTTTTTTTTATTGAGCTGAATGTTTAAAAATTTTATTTTTAAAAAAAGCTTTAAGCAGCGGTATTATACCACATGACATTGCAAAGCCAATTGGATGCTTGCATTTGGAGAAGATGGGATAAAAGCCATCTTTGGAATGTTTATGGCAAATACCACTATTGCATCGGGACAAAGTGCCACGTCTAAAGGAATTAATAAAGCAGAATAGGTCATTGCCAGAGCTGGCTGGAGAATGGCAATTCCCTCTCAAGACAACTTTTGAGGGTTTGAAATTTGGTTTTGTTCTGCGTTGGAATGAAAACAAAACCTTTCCAACATTTTTGTAAAACAGAATTGTGTCAAAATGTCTTTCTTCTGCTCAGAAAGGTCAGATTTTCAATTCCGCTCTCTGACCGGATAGTCCACCCTGGACCTCAGAAACCTTCCACTCAAACATTTCTTCAGAATCAGTACAACTATGTGAAATGCTTCAGCTTTGACTAAACAGCATATTTGGATGAAAAAAGTTTATTCTAAAAGGTTCCAGCCAGCTCTAATCACCTCTGAATATACATAGTGCTACAGATATTAAGATTTTTCCTTAATGTCTTGAATGTCTTGTACTATACTGGCTCGTGTATTTTTTTGCTCATTAAAATGTGTATACAGGATACGGTGAGCATGCACACCTTTATTTAACCTACTTGCTATGAATTGCCTGTGATCTCTGTCTGTCTGTCTGTCTGTCTGAGTAGCCAGCTTACCTTGTGTTGACATCCTGTTAGGCTATGGGTGGGTTTGTATGTGAGTGATAGGGATTGAGGGACACACTTCGGCATGCTGCTATATACGACTCTGCTGTGGGGGGTGGTGGTGTTGATTTGAGAGAACCGTCTCATCTCTGCGTCAATATCCCGGCATGTTAAGGTGCAGACTTTTAGTTGAGACGTACAGCAAATGTCCTGACCAGTTGTGGTTGGCAGTGTTACTGGCATTTTTTTTGCAAGAGTACCACTGTTAACAAATTTCAGAGTAGCAGCCGTGTTAGTCTGTATCGGCAAAAAAAAAAAAAAGAACAGGAATTACTTGTGGCACCTTAGAGACTAACAAATTTATTTGAGCATAAGCTTTCGTGGGCTAAAACCCACTTCATCGGATGCAACAAAACTAATTTCCCCCCACTGATACTCACACCTTCTTGTCAACTGTTTGAAATGGGCCACTTTGATTACATTGGCCTCATTACCACTACAAAAGTGATTTTTCCTCCCTTGGTATTCACCCCTTCTTGTCAACTGTTGAGAATAGCCCACTTCCACCTTAATTGAATTGGCTCATTAGCACTGACCCCCCCACTCGGTAAGGCAACTCCCATCTTTTCATGTGCTGTGTATTTATACCTGCCTCTGTATTTTCCACTCCATGCATCTGATGAAGTGGGTTTTAGCCCATGAAAGCTTATGCCCAAATAAATGTGTTAGTCTCTAAGGTGCCCCAAGGACTCCGCGTTGTTTTTGCTGATACAGACTAACATGGCTACCACTCTGAAACTGTTAACACTGGTGTCCAGCGCTGGCGTTCGGTAAATCCTCACTTTTTGGTGCCCTTTCAGGGTCAAGGCCCATCTCAGCTATAATATTTCAAGAAAGAGTCCATTTCCAGCCCTTCTCAGTGGGAAGAAAACTTTCCTGAAGCTGACTATGAGGGAAAATTTTTCTGCAGATCATGAGATATGCATGGTCTCAGCCACAGTCAGATTAAGGGCAGCATTTGGGGGTTGCAAAATCTGTGGGTCACCCCATAATTTAATGCCTCAACTTCCAAGCAGTAGCTGAATCATAGAATCATAGAAGATCAGGGTTGGAAGAGACCTCAGGAGGTCATCTAGTCCAACCCCTGCTCAGATCATCACCCTATACTACATGGCTTTCCATGAAAATGTTGAACTAGCCTCTGTAGCCATGGGAATTGCATATCTGATTCCCCACAGGGAATTCCCCTCTTAAGTTCATTACGTTTGCCCCTCCCTCAATGTGAGTGGACACGCCCTCACCTTTGTAAACTGAGCTGAGATTTTCCAAGCACTTCAACCAAAACCCACTGTTTTAGGTCAAATATAAAACAGGTTTATTAACTACAGAAAGATCGATTATAAGTCGCAAATGTAGGGATCAAAGTTGGTTACTCAAGAAATAAAAATACATTTGCAGTCTGCGGGCTACAAACTAAGCAGGATTTCAATCAAGCAGTGTCTCACCCTGACAGATGGTACAAACAGGTCACGGATCCTCAGTACACTGGCTGGGACTCTTTCCTGACTCAGAACCACCCTCCCCCAGTTCAAAGTCTTTGTCCTCCAGATGTGTTTCCAGGTGTTGAATTGTGGGGGTAGTGAGGCCAAGTGATGATGTCACTTCCCCTCTTTTATAGTTTCTTCGCTGCGAGATGGGTTAGTCCCCCCCCCAGGGCCTACACAACTCCTCCGAGAAGTCTCAAGGATAGTGGATTATTTTCTTGATGGGTGTTGATTAGCCATTAATCGACTCCATTGTTTTACCTGAAAGGCTGGTTGTGGGTTTTCCCAATCTCACAACGTATTGCAGTAACATGTACACTTCATCACCTCACACACGATAGTAGCTCCTACAATCCAACAGGATATTCATGTTCAGCAGATCGAGACTTTTAAAATGATACCTCACGGGGCATACTTTGTACAGACCATCTCATAATTATATCACAGTGATGAATATGGGGAGTTCCAGGGTACTACTCTGAGGTTCAGAGTGTCACAATGTCATATTCAGGTTGCTATGAGAACCATAACATTGAATTTCCTGGCTTCTGTGCATTACCATCTCAAGCCTACCA